TGCCTACAAATCAAAGTGAACACACATTGTACATTTTTGTTGCCGCTGATTAAAGATCTCGTCAGGATAAATTGCTTCTTGCTGTTTCAAACAATGACGATATTCTGAGATACTGAGTTGGCAGTTCTGTGACATCAGTTTTGGTAACTTTAACATGAAAATCAGCGTCAAATATCCAAGTGTATTTAGCAATGAGGCTGAGTTTCACTTTATATGTTCATTAAAATCTTTTTTTCCTCCTCTAAATTATACTAAAAGCATAACATGACCAGTGTCAGTGGATATTCCTCACAAATAAACTCTCATATTGAACTTAGAACATAAGAAATAAAGTGCTTTTAAAGATGGAGTGAGTGTCTGGCTTTGTTTCCTGCAGATCACAAGGCCTATCTCGGTTTGCACGCACACAAATCAAAACGAACAATGTACATTTTGTTGTCTCTGATTAAAGATCTCAGCGGGCTGAACTGCGGTTTGAAACACTGATGTTATTGTGAGATACTGAGTTGGTGGTTATTTGGATGTGAACAGTATTTTTCTTGTAAGGTCAGCTAAACATTCAGCTTCATTTAATTTAACTTAATATCATCTTTTCAGAGAAATTTGTTCTTTCACAGTGAATTTAGCCCAAACCATAACATGATCAGTATCATTGGATATTAATGACACATAACCTGTAACACTGAGTCTGTAACATTAGGGAATTTAAAGACAGAGTACATGTCTGGCTTTGTTTTATGAGTCTCCAGCTGCCTGTTTGTTTATCCAGTGAAACAATGTGGGCCGCAGCTGCAGTTTCACCTCTGTGGCCGTCGACTGAGCTGACAAACAGATCTCAGTCAGACAACAAGTCAACAAGTCACCACCGTGCCACGACTTCATCACACAGTGGCCTGATGGGATAGTTCCCAACCTGTGGGTCAGGACCCCCACCAGGGGTCGCGAGATGATTAGCGTGAAAAAACTAAACTTTTCTCAGATTTCTTTTTAAACCCTGTATAGTTTTACTTCCTCTGGCCTCTAAAATGATTTATTTTATGTTTAATTCAGGGCAAAATATAAATTTCCGAGACAAGAAAAATGTCATCTAAACTCACATAAATATTGTCATTATTACTTTTTAGAGTCTGAGTTTTCATACATCTCCATGGTCTTCCTCAGATCTGGTGCAACAGAGCAACTCAGTTGTTGTCAGATGACCTACAGTATAACTTAAGTATTGTAACAGCAAACTCTGTCTGCAGAGGAAGACTGTGAGATGTGGTTGAAAGCTCAGGGGAAAAGCTAGAAAGTGGACTTTAAGATTGTTTTTTTTTTTGTCAAACGGACTGCTTCCAAGGTCAAGAAGGCACTTAAAGCTCAAATTGTTCTTCATATTTGTGGAATTGTGTGCTTGCCTGTAGTCAAATCTCCTATTTTTGTATTATCGGCTGACCTGCGCTACAGGAGGCATGCATTTGCAATTCATTAAAAGTAAACCAACTGAACACTGTCTTTATATTCTTTCCAGGAAATCTGTAGCTAAATGATTTAGTAATTACAGGCCTGTGACAAGGGGTCAAATGTAAATATTGTTTGGGGTCACGAGCAGAAACATTTTGAGAATTACTGACTTAAAGGAGTGAGGTAACGTAGATTAAAGAGCCATAAAGTCTGCATATGGAGGTGGTGGGAGGTAACTGCAGTCATATATTCTGATGAGTTGGGAGTGCGAACGTGTTGACCTGAACAAGACTAAGAGTCTACAGCCATAGTTTAGCATTTTAGCATAACTAACATAACATAACTAACAGTTGCTAATTAGTGCTAAACACAAAGTACATTGGAGGCTGATGGGAATGTCTTTTGTTTTGCAGGTATCTGGTCATAAACCAAAGTATTACAAAAGACAACTTTGTCTTGACAACTTTTTTGGTTGCTCGAAGGGAAGTCTGGGTTCATTAGGATTCATCCTCTGGGGACAATGAATGTTTGCGAAATTTGATGGAAATGCACCCAATAGTTGTTATTCAAATGTCTTTTTATTAAAGCGACCCGATAGTTGTTGAGCTATTTGGGCCTCCGTGGTGGACCGACCAGACTGACATTGCCATCCAGAGCCAGGCACCAGCTAAAAATATATATTTGAAACGTATAAATGTTTTGATGATGAATAAAAGAATTTAAGTAGAAAGGAAGATTGAAACGATTATAATCAAGTGCTCCTAAAATGAAGTATCTGTAGTCAAGTTACTTTGGCAATGTAGTTGTTACACTTGGATTGTACTTGTGGGTGAATGTTGGCTGATGCAAATAAACAGTCGGTCTGATCTCAAATACCGACAACTATTATCCAAAACAAATACACAAGTAAACATATTTTCCCATCAGCTGCCAGCTGACATTGCATGGTTCAAGACCTGGGTGTTAATGGGAACAAATGTTTGTTTTCTGAGAGACTGCTGGGCCTGACGTCTCATGTTTGCTGCTGGATTTATTTGATTTTGACTGTGACCGTCGTCTTTGTGTCGGAGGGGTTTAGAAAGGATGAGGGTTGGTTTCTTTTGATTGAGTCAAAGTCATTGTTATCAGGTTGAGAGCAAGAAAGGGCAATTCAAACTACTGGTGAAAATCTAACTTTAACACTTGCAGAAAGAACAGATTTAGGCCCCTTTTAAAAAGGGACATTTACTCCAAACTGAAGTGGAAACTGGATATTTCATCTGACTCATTAAAGGAGAAGTTAGATATTTGGGAAAATACACTTACTCACACACTTTATTGTTCTTGCCGAGAGTTAGATGAGAAGATTGACACCAGCTTCATGTTTGTATGTTAAAAATTAAGCAGCCATTTAGCTTAGCTTAGCATAAAGACTCAAAACAAGTGGGAACAGTTAGCCTAACTCCTTCTAAAGATACCAAAATCTGTCTGCCAAGACCTCTAAAGCTCACTGATTAACACGGTATATCTTGTTTCTTTAATCCGAACAAAGCAGAAATTGTAAAAATGACCATTTTTTTTGGTTTTGGATGCAAGTGGAGGAAAATTAAATCGTTTAAGGACATTTCTCCTTGCTTTCAATCCTTATGCTAAGTTAAGCTAATTGCTTCCATCTTTATGTGCTATTTCTTGGAAATGTTCCCAGCCAAGAAATACTCAAACTGTCTTTTGTATACTTATGTTTTTGTACTGTTTTTTAAAAAATAAACAATTTATAAAACGTTAATTAGGGAACTTTAGCAGTGCTGCCTTTAGACAGAGCCAGGCTAGCTTTCATATTTCATAGTAATGGTATCTCAATCTCACTCTCAGCACGAAAGCAAATCAACCGCCTTTCACCAAAATGTCAAAACTAAGGCCCTTTAAAACCCATCCCAGGCTGTAGGCTACAGCAGGAATGGGAAATGGAAAAGACGATGATGATGTGTGTGTGTGAGACTGACTCATGATGAGACTTTTTACGAGCGTCTGTCACTTGACAATCCCAAATCATCTCCCGTTAAGCGTTTCATTTATATCTGGCTCGTCTCCAGTGATTGTAAACAGGCCCAACCTTCGCCCAACGCAAGAATTTCAAGAGGAATGTGACTGTGGTCAAAACGTGGCAAAATCATGCGGTTCCAACTCTAAAGAAGAAGAAGAAGAAAAAAAGCAAACAAAAAAAGCATTTTTCTTCCGCCCTCTGTTTTCTAAAAAAAGACAAAAAAAAAGTCAGGAATTCCTTTCTGTGTGAAAGAGACACACATTTCTTTAGAGGGGTGAATGCAACCAGAGCTGATTGTTTCAATGAACGTATTAATTTCGGCCAAATGCATTGGAACATGATGGTGGTAAAGGGGATGGAGTGTGGTGATGGAAACTATGAGCGGTGCCGGAGGGGGGGGGGGACTGAGTCTCTAGAAAGAAAATCTGTAATTTTCTGAAGGAGACATGACATCACCTAACTCAACAAGACTGAATGGCTTGTTAACGTGAAATGAATTATTTAAATAAAAAAAGACACAATTGCACAATATATTAAGCTTTCGTTGTCGTTTTGTGTTCCAACCCACAGCTGATAAGTGAAACATTAAAGCAAGGGATTGTTTCCTCAAAGGTCTCCTTGTTCTTCTTCTCATAAATCCTACGCCGCACTTATTCGCAGTATCAGTTACGCATTTTGGACCCCATTCAGGCCCCCAACCCCCAGTAACAACCACTATTTCCTCACTCTAAAGAAAGAACATCCTTTCTGGTCCATCCTGGATGTGGAGGGGAGGGGTGTCAAATATTTGGCTTGAAGAGATGCATTTCTTGCATGATTTAAGATGATTGTGCTTTAAATAAAGTGAATTTGGCACCACTCTCCTATAAGACGCACCTTTTATAAGTCACTAACAATGTCTTTATTGCTAATAAATAATCTACTAAAGCTTTATAGTGCAATTATAAGTCACGCATAAGATCAAAGAGTGGGTTGCCAGGTTGTGAAGAATCACAGACAGGTGTTTCAGTTTGGTAGTAATGTAGTTAGAAATGTTTGTTATAATATTAAATGCTCAAAGTTCTCAGTTTCTAATGATCAAGTCTGCAGAGATTAACTCATTAATTATTAGATTTTAGTCTAGCAGCTCTACTCTGCAGCCCTTTCATAAAAATCTCATTAAAGCCATTTAACTGCTCTATAAAGCTTTAGTAAATATTTATTAACCACTAATAAAGCCATTATTTACAACTTATAAAGGCTTTATAAAGGAACCCTCATTAGAGAGTGGTATCGTTAATTTAAAGCCTCACTGTATTCACTTAAAACAGGTTAAAAAAAAAGACACTCAAAATGTGCTTGAAGCTTTAAAAAGGCGCCGTTTTTGCACCTGGTGAAGTCAGGTGAGGATCTGTGCAGCCTCAGCGGAGCAGACATCGCTGCTTCAGGAGATTAGATCAATGCAAACACACCGGAACACACTTTAAATCCACTTATCATTTAAGTTTTTTCACATCACAAAGCTGAGTCGTATAAAGCGCATAAATAAACGTACCTCTCTTTACGCATTAGCGGCCTCTGAAGATGCTTCTCCGGACTCTGCAGGATCTGAGCAGTCTGACCGCTTCTGCTGGGCTCTGGTATATAATATGACAGATAATTAAAATCCTCCCTCGTGGACTCCTGCGAGCTGAAAACTGACGGGTTTCCACTGACTGAAGCATCTGTGTCTGGTGCGTAAAACCCAACCATTGCCTCAAACACCGCCCCTTTCTTCCCCTGTCTGTCTTTCCACTCCCTCTGCGTTTCTTTCACCTTGTGGGGGGAGTTCAAGCTGAAAGAAGGTGCACTCACTATGTTTTTTGGATGTAACTGAATATTTTAAATACATAGTACACTTTTGCTTTCCAGCTGCTGATGTAAAACCACTTTATTATCTCTCCTAAATGGAAAAAAATCCCCTATAATAATCTCATAGGAGCCATGGTAGTGCTGAATGATGAGTGCAGTGTGCTCTACAGTGTTTTAATCTAGCATGATATCACAATAAAAGTTATTTGGGGAGTTTGTAATTGTACATAATTAAATATATAAGAGAACAGCCTTGTGCAGCATCGTTTTAAAATGGTTTCCCCTCACAGTGATACTTTTATTTAAGTACATAATATTAATTTAGTTAGTATTTTTTAACTTGTGTATAAACAGTGATGAATGAATGCTAACTGTTTATACACACAAACAACTCTTACAATGTTATAAATTATGCATTTATTAACCTTTTATACGTGTTATAAAGCATTTATTAACAGTTTATACATGAATAGAACTTATGGTGCATTATAAAGCATTTATTCACTTTTTAAGTAAGCACATATTCAAATCTTGTTATAAATGTTATAAAGCATTTATACTGTTTGTGACAAATAACTCTTAAAGGGCGTTATAAAACCTTTAACTTTACATGTTGTTATTAACTTCTTATACATATGAACAAATCTTATGGTGTGTTATAAAGCATTTATTAACTTAAATAAATGCTTTATAACACACCATAAGATTATAATGTGTACACATCATTCACAGGTTGAGTTTAAAACTGGGTTTATAGATGGTGTTGAAACATTTTGACCTTGAAAGTTTCTTTCTTAACTTTTTTTGACAAAAGAATTCTTAACTCAAAGTCCTCTTACTGGATTTCCACTGCAGCTTTCAGACGTATCTTGTGGCTTTCGTCAGCGCAGTTTTAATGTGAGTAAAGATGTTTCTAAATGAATTAATGTAATATTTACCAGATACCGTCCATCACACGTGGATGAGGATGCTACACACTCTCCGTATTGTCTTTCACTCTCAAGTGTTGCATTTCTTCTGAGTTTCCTTGGCTTACATGAGATTTTCTGTGGTCAGGAGCAAACTGCAGGGTCTCAGAGAGCAAGATATCATTTTCCCTCTCATTGACCTCCATTTTCCACAGTGGTGAGCAGGAGGTCTGGGGACGATTAGAGGCTTCAGCTGTGGCTCCATCCTGCCACTACCCATTAAGTCAGGATGTACACTACATGTGTATATGATGTGATGAGGGCTTTTCATTCGTGTGTGTGTGTGTGTGTGTGTGTGTGTGTGTGTGAGTTTGTGTAGGGGGGCATCTTTTAGGCTTATTTGCAGGACCTGTTGATGATCTCAGACTTCACGCTGAAGGATTTGTAGAGAATATGAACTTTGAATTATTGGCTGACTATAGGATGACTTGAGGGTGAAATCATCCAGAAATGTAAAATATTTACATGTTAATTTGCTGCCACCTGCTGTTCAAACTTGTTAGTTACAGTGGTTCAGGTATGGGTGGATGCACAAAGTTAGACTGAAGCAAAAACATGAAGCTAAAAGTCTTAAGAATGTAAAAATTATCAGAGTATGTTGGATGACTAAGTTTTGTCTGTTACAATCTGTCTCCATACTACAGAAGACCAAATCTGCCAGTTGGAAAACTAACAAGCTCACTATGAAGTGTTTTGGTCACAATTATGAGACAATAATTGTGAGATAATTATCATTTCATAATCATGAAACACTTCATAAATATGACAAACTTTTATAATTATCAAACAATAATTGTGAGAATATTTAGTATTTAATATTTTATCCCATTTAATTATTACCAACTATGTCATAGCTATGAAATTTTGATTTAGTATCTTATGATTATAGGAATCTTTCTCAGACACTAAATGATGAATAAAAATAGGTGATGGATTTTTAATTAACTTTGCATCTCATAGTTTTGGGATAGTGTCTTTATAAATATGGCTTCTCTAGAAAACAGTTAAAATGATGAGATACTAAACCAAACTGAGACACACTTATATTATGAGAGATAATGTCATGATTGAGAACACAAAATCTTTTTTTTTTTAATAAATGTAATATCTCACAATTATAAGAACCTTTCTCAAAATTATATAAAACTTTCTCAAACTTATGAGATAACATTTCAAAAGTTTGAGATAATGTCATAATTGGGAGAAAAAAAACACACAAAAGTAGATATTTAACTACCATAAAATCTTATAATTAAGACATTGTAATGACTTTACATATAATTATAAAAATCTTCCTCAGATTTATAATAACTTTTTTAAGATTATGAGAAACTAAATATGACAAAAAACTCTTCATAATAAAAATAATTTGATGTGGTGGATTATCAAAAGATAAAACTAAGCGTGACTCAGCAAAAATATGAAACATATTTTATTAAAGAATTATGTACAATAATTCAAAACACATCCTGCAGGCCTCTGACATATTATTTTAGGTCAGACACACACACACACACTCGCACGAAAAGCAAAAAAAAAAAAAACAGCTGGAAAACTGAATCTGTGGAGTAAATTTGGTCAAAAAGTTCATCAGCGCTACAAAAAGTCAACCAGTCAGCAGGTGGTCCTAGCAAAAAGCATCATCAGTTATTTCCAGACTCCATTAAGACCAACATGCTGTCGCTCCCCTTTGTTGATCAACCCAGGCTCTCTAATGGTGTAACTGGCACAGTTCTGGTCTGTGGAGATCCTGAGCAGAGCACCGGTCGCTGGTCGCATGAGTCATTATCAACAGAAAACACACCGCAGAACAAACACTGCGCTTTTCCTTTTCCATACAGGGGATTAAACCCACTTACAGCACTCAATATTTCAGGGTAAAATGAGCAGGAACATGAAAGAAAGTTCATACTGCTGTAGAATGTAAAGTGAAGTTACTGGAAATAAAGTTTCGAGCTTGAGTCAATGGAGCTTTTACACTGCGTTACAAGCCTCTCTGACGTCTCTTTGAGTATTTTTATGTTGCAGAGTACAGAGAATTAACTGGCCAAGAAGGTAAACATAGCTGACACAACTCTTTGACATCTCAATACAGATAAATGTGCAGAAAATAGGAACCACTTGAGTTTTTTTGGCATATTTATCACCTGTGATACTGGAAAGATATACAGTATATCTGAACAATACAACAGGGGGGGGGGTCAGATTTAGTCCATTAGTTCATCAGCTGCTGTAAGTGATTTACATTCAGTTGCACTCAGTAAGGGGACATTTGTTCGACAGGAGGCCTTCTGTGCTTTCTTATTATTCCTCCACATCGTGCGGCCTCGCTGCGCTCCGGGTAAACCAAAGAATGGCCCTTGTCGCCCTTTAAACAGCACTTCCGTTCAGCGAGGCGTACTTTCGGCCTGTCAGGTTGTTGCTGGACGAGCTGACGTCTTGCGGTGAGGTGCCGACTTCAAACACTTCGTGGATGGCTTTTCGGAAACAGTGGAAATTGTACTCTATCAAACCTGCAGAGAGAACAAAAAGTGGTTAAATTTAAAAAGTTACAGAGCTTTTGCGATGTAAAGTACATTCTCTAACACATTCAGATTCAGTGAGTTTTAGAGTACATACACTGAGATGGCTAAATGTGAAAACACTGTTTATGTGAGAAAAAGACACGCCTGCGTAAATGCTACTTATTAACAAGGCAAACAGTAATTCTCGTGCTGCTTCAGAGAGAGTTTATGATTGCAAAGACATCAAAACAACAGTTGTGGAGGAAATATTCAGGTCCTTCAGTAAAAGCAGGAATACAACACTGTGAGAATACTCCATTGTGAGTATAATATATAATAAAATGCTAAATGTGAGCTATCAAAAGTCCTTGTTCTCTGTAAATGGAAACACCCAGTTAGACCTGAAGAAAAAGAGCTGGTTGAGCTAATGACAGAGTGACAACCGTAAACAACCATATTTACTTGTCTGGAAGGCTAAAACATGATATAGTAGCCAGACAGTATAACTTTGAGGAATTTGTATGTATTTTGTTTAGTTTGTACTACTTTGGTTCTTGTTTATGTGTTTTTTTTGTTGTTCCTTAAAAAAAACTAATTAAAAAAGTAAAAGTACTCAAACGAGAAAAGGGTCTCCTCTGAGTGTTATTAGATTATTGATGATGCAATAATGTGTAATTAGTGTTTTACTGTTGTAGTTGAGGTGGAGCTTTCACTATTTATTACTGTATACTGTTTAATCTATAACAATGCATCATATTTTCTAAGTTCTAAGTAATTTCTAAAGGAACTAGTAAATATAGCTGTCAAATAATTGTAGTGAGTGTAAGTGAAAAGCAGCATGTTTCCTCCTAAAATGTAGTGTGGTAAAAGTATTAAATAACATAGAATTATGTACTCATGTAAAGTACTTCAATAAATCCACTAACCACTGCAAAATAAACTTACAGCCACTTTTGATTTGGCAGCATACACTTCAATCTGACACTTAGGACATCCTGTATAATCAACCCACCGTCCAACAATGCCAACTTAACTGTTTATAAAATCTGAAGCTACGCACCTTTCCTCTCGAAGCTCTCCTCTCGGAGGATGCAGACGAGAGCGAGGAACTTTGTGACCTCTTTCAAATAAAGCACTGTAGTGTTGTTGAGCTTGATGATAGCCAAAGACTCCTTGTCGTAGGCAGAGCCGCTGCCATCCTGTATGAGCCTGCCAGGAGGGAGAAAGACAGAAATAAACCCCCTTTTAAAACTTTGCATTAAAAAAAAAAGGATACAACCACCGGCCAACACTTGAAACAAATAATTCTTCTCACCCGTAAATGCAGGAGACGTCGATGACAACATCTATCATGTCGCAGCAGAGTTCGTAGGACTGCATGTCCACAGGAGAGCTGTCTGTGGCGATGTAAATCTTACTAACAACATCGAACAGGAAGGCTTTCTCGATCCCAGAATGCTGAAAAACAGGAAGGATTGTTAATAAGAGAAAGTGCTAACTGAACACTGCTCGTGTCTGTATTTGACGTCCTAGGAATGAGAGCGGGCTGTGAAGTGTGTAGCAGAAACTACAGGGCCTCAAAACTCCTCCTGTCAAGGTCCTATCTAGAGCCAGTGTTTGGTCTGTCCCTTCTGGGCTACTGTACAAACATGGTGGACTCCACATTTGTAGATAAAAGCAGCTCAACCTCAGGTAACAAAAACATAACAATTCCTATATCCAAGTGATTAAAACATATATATTAATATTATATTCCCTTTCTGACAATAAATCCTCCTGAATGCTACACACTGGACCTTTTTTAAAGTAACAAAAAAGAAACAACGTACAGATATGAAGATGTTCAAAAGATTCTCCAACGTTGGTAACTGAGGAATGAGCTTCTGTACGACTTTGCTGAAGGCCTCGAATATGGAGTGGTCATAGATGCTGGTTAAGTAGAAGCTGAGGATGGAAAGCAGGAGAGGAGAGTTCAGACTACAAGGCGTCACCAAAACAAGTTAAAAATCAGTCAGTCGAATCAGTTTTATTAGCTGCGTCGTTGTTCACGGAAGAATGCAGGATAAAAGCACAGCAGGCTGTAAACTCGACAAACCAAGTCTTTCAAAAATCGGGGTTCCTACTCTTTAAGAAATCCTTTTCCACTTGCCTCACAAACGGTGGTCATTGTTTAAGGGGAAACTACCGCGTCAGCTCGGTTTCATAATGTGCTCGGTCGTTCTCATCACAGATAGTTTTCCCACTTCCCAAATTGACTAGTTTTTCTACACAGCTCAGACTAACATACAGTTAAAAACTTCCAGGACAACACAGATTATTTCCAGGATATTTTGTCATTTTAATAAATTTCCAGGTGTTTTCATGACCGGAAAACCACGAAAATGAGCTGACCACAAAACAAACCCTTGTGGAAACAGTGTGACTCGTTTCTGTTCGCCGCTCTGATGCTCTCAGCTTATATGTTTATTCAGATCGATTAGCTTCTACAGAGGCGGCAACTAATCTTCCCGGGTGACACATAAAACCACAAAACATTAACACACAGTGCACAGGAGCCACACACCCTGAATCACATGCACCTTTGACCCAGAACTCACCGACCTGTGTCAGACACTCACCTGAGGTGAAGCTTCTCCAGGCTGGCATCTGCCAGATCATCGTTGGCCCTCTGATGAATGTCTCTTTGCGTTTCTATTTTGTGGTCGTCTGACAGGCCGTCTACTTTATGGATGAACACCTCGAAGTTGATGTCTGGATTCACTTTGTAGGCCCTAGATACAGTGAGATGTAACCGCACAAGAGCCTCCACGTAGTCATCCTAATAAGAAGAGAGAGACACATTCATCTCACACAGGAAAGCCTTTAAAACGTACAGTGTAAGCTTCCGTTTAAACTAATGTCATCCTACCTGAGCGTCAATGACGAAGATCAAAGCGCCGGTTCCCTTAAAGATAGTCTCGCTGTCAAACGTGGGATCGAAGAAGTCCACCTGGCCAGGAAAGTCCCAGATCTGGAAGTTGACAAAGGAGCTGCTGGAGATGTCGTCCTTGTAGATTTTGTTGGTGCTCTCGAGGAACAGCGTCTCATTGGGTGACATCTTGTGGAAGACGACCTGGTCAGAGGCACAAAAGGATTATTGTTTCGGTCCAATGTTTTTACTTTCAGTTTCTTCTCTGATTCTTCATTCTGTAAAACCTTTAAGCTTATTATTCTCAATATTTACTTAACCGTTTTGTGCTCTATTTACGCAACATTGTGATTCTGTTTATCTATATTGGAATTATATTACTGTATATATATAACACCTATGTCATGTCCTGTTGCTGTTCCTTAAGTTTCTCCCAGTTATTTTTCTGTTTAAAGGTCAGTTTGTGCAGTTTTTCCTCATCAAATCAATGTTAGAGAGTGTTTCATATTGTACTGACTGATCTCTCAATCAATTAACTATATATACTCCATGTTATAGCCTAGCTGATATTGTATATGTTGACATTTGAGAGTTTAAACATGTAGAGTTAAAGATTAAAGTCACTCTGAGGGCACTGTTCTTTGCTTATCAGCCACCACACTTAGATAGCAGATAGCAATATATCTGTGATAAGTGTGGTTGGACTTTATAATACACAGATGTCACGATAAACAAAAGGTATTTTGGTCATAATTACAGTCAGTTGTCAGTTTATTAAGTGCAGCAAGCAGAAAACTAACTAGTCTATTACAACAGCCCTGTAAATAAATCCTACCTTCATGAAAGGTTATAATTTTTTAAAGGTTTTAAAAAGGTGCTGATTTAGTTTTAGTCATTTTGGTTGGTTTGATTTTGAACTTTCTAGAGCTGCACGATGCGATCAAAAACATCATATTGTGATTATTTATTATTATTTATATATGAATTATCATTTTTGCATCACACATTTAATGAAAATCCTGATTATTTGACATTTTGGGGTTGTCTGTTACCAAACAAACATGTTTTCTTTAAATCTGGAGAACAAGATTTGTAGTTCAGGGCATCTCTGCAGCACCACATTACTCCATTATAACATATATTCCTATGAAGTGTACAGACCTGTTCAAACCTGTTTATTATTATTATTACAACACACTGAGACGTGTTTCTAATCGTGTGACTACCAATGAAGGTGCAGTCTATATCAGAAAATCAGTATAAGGCAACAACATCCAAGAACAACAAACCTAGAGCCTCCAATACAAACTATCATGAACAAACACTGAACATTATAAACTTCATAAAGGTGGAATTTAAAGGCAGGACTGTTGTTTTTAGACAGACAGACAGACAGACAGACAGATAGATAGACTTTATTAATCCCCAAAGGGAAATTGGGTCATAGCAGCCAGGTACATTAAAATACAATAAAATACAACAATAGAATAAAATACTTAGATAGGAAAGATAAAAAAGATAAATAGGAAGGTAAGGTGCAA